AGGAGACCTTTACTTACTGCATTTGTAGTCATTTCTCTCTAAGACCTGTGTTCTTTTACCATTTTTTCAAATTTCTTTAGAATAATTGAGAATTGGATTATTGACAATGGTAGTATTTTTCATTTTTACAGAAGATGTAACATACCTGGGAACGTGCCTGTAATTGTGTGGTTGAATAAGACATTGCTATGTGCTGTGATACACCCTTGTACCCTCTTGATCCCATGGGAGCCTAAAATAACAATAGGTCTTGTCTTCTTGAAATAAGTTAATCTTTCAGTTATATTTTTATGTCTGAGTGTGTATAATTATGGCCTTTGGTTGTAAGTAGCCAGTGAACTTCTTTCAGAGTTCTTTTACTTTAGTTACTAAGAGAAATTTTTTTTAGTTGTAAAAGAGATCTCAGTATTTTTCAAGTGTCTTCTGACTTCTGAATTTTTCATGTATCCAACTAAGACTTTCTCATTCTAAGATCAATTGTTTCCCAAGTTTATAATTTAATATACTGTACTTTTACGTATCCAGAATATGTAAGAATCAGGAAATGAGTCCCAGTCCTAGCTGGTTTGGCTCAGTGGATAGAGCACTGGCCTGTGGACTGAAGGGTCCCGTGTTCAATTCCTGTGAAGGGCACTTGCCCTGGTTGAGGGCTTGATACCCAGTAGGGGGCATGCAGGAGGCAGCAGATCAATGATTACCTCTCATTGATGTTGCTATCTCTCTCTCCCTTTCCCTTCCTCTCTGAAATCAATAAAAATATTTTTAAAAATGATCCTATGAAAAAAATTATATCAATTTCAAAAGTTTTTGTACTTTATTAAACTTTCACTTGCTGTTGTAGTCATAAATAATAAAGTAACAAATTTTTCATTTAAAAGGACATATCAATATTATAATATCCATAGCATAATTGTTTACTTCAATTGCATTTAAAATTTGAAAGATAATTATGAGGTGCACAGAATAACTAAAAACTTGGTCATATCTAAATGCTAAATATACTGAGGTTTCCTGATTATTCAATTAGCATACTCTAGAATGCATGCTACCCAAAAGTTTAAAATTTGATACAAACCTACAAGTTATATTTTGACAAATATATATTATTGAGGAAAACAAAAATCAGTGACTTAAATGAGAAATCAGTGTTCATTTATTTAAATTATACTTTTGTATTAAAATCTAAGTATGTTTTAGGTACTTGAATGCATTCATTACAGAAACTAAATTACCAAATCTCCTGGTGTGAAACTGTGACTAGAAATGGCCTTTTCTGAATGCGGCAGTCACGAACATGACTTCTATTATACGGGTGCAATGGACGAAAGTTTTAACATTGAAGTGTTAACATTTAGTTCTAATATTGAAATGACATCTGTTTAAAACTCTGAAATTAACATAAAATATAAAGAAATATAAAAGGCAATAGGCATGAAGAGTTTATGTTGTTTTATCTATTACTTTGATATAACATGGTTATTATGCTAACTTAAATTATTACAATGTGATTACAGTTTAGCAAAAATTTTGTTGATTCATCTCTGAGATGAAACTCTTTGTTAGAGGTGAATGGAGTATGCCATATTGTTTTTTTGTGCTCATCAATTTTCCATGAAAGATTAAGAGATTATACATCAGGAAGTAAACAAACCTCTTTTGGGTCATCCCCAAGCAGCTTAAATTTTCTTGGTATCTTGCTTCTGGCAAACTTACATCCATTGTAGTACATGCTCCACGAACAACCGAAAGAAAAGGAGGCACCACAGGTCTCTGGATCCAGCCCTTGACAGGCACAGGTTCTCCTGAGAAATCAAAGGATCAAGTTCATGGCTGAGGATAGCAATAGCTATGCTACCCATCTCATATTCTGAGTGTTTTCATGCAAATTAGTTTTTAACAACATCTAATCTAACTCTATATTAAGCTCTGACATAATCACATCAGAAAAGAACTATTTTAATTGACTTTAAAACACAATTTTAAAAAACTTCTTATTTTATTGTAGTATAATACACACACAGGAAAGTAAACATAATTTCATAGCGTATAAATGAAATGCCCAAGACAGTAGCATCCAAATGAAGAAACAAAACATACACTTGCACCCCAGAATCTCCTTTTAATTCTTCCTTCCAGGCATTACCCCCAAAAAGCAACTTCTATTAGAAGAGATTAGTATTGCCTATTTTTAGCAATTATATATATATACACAAACACAGTTTTGCCTATTTTTATACTATATATAGGATACTGTATACCTACTGTATATAGTGTGTATGTATATATATACATATCTGTATATAATTTTGCCTGTTAATATAAAAATACTATATTAAAATACTAGTGTTAAATATATTGTATATACAGTATAAAATAGGCAAAACTATATCTATCATAAATATATACATATGCATATCTATATAATAAAAGCCTAAGCAACCATTACAGCGGAATGACCAGAACAACTGGTGCTGTGACGTGCACTGACCACCAGGGGGCATATGCTCAACGCAGGAGCTGCCCCCTGGTGGTCAGTGTGCTCCTACATGGGGAGCGCTGCTCAGCCAGAAGCCGGGCTCACGGCTGGTGAGTGCAGCGGTGGTGGCAGGAGCCTCTCTCACCTCTGCAGCAGCACTAAGAGCAGCAAGCCGAGCTATAAGGAGCAGCAAGCAGGCGGGTGGTAAGGAGCAAGGGGTCCTGGACTGCGAGAGGGTGCAGGCCGGGCTGAGAGACTGCCCCCCCGCCCAGTACACGAATTTCATGCACTGGGCCTCTAGTGGAACTATATAGCATAAACTGTTTATGCCTTGCCTTGTTCAACATTATGTTTATAATACCCATCCATGTTGTTGCATGTATCATGCTTTATTTATGTATTTATTCATGGAGTTTAGTTTTTCATCATATGCCACAAATTAACCATTCTATTACTGATGGGTATGTGAGTGCTCCCTAGTTCTTGGATAAAATACACTATTGTGACCTCACAGCCCAAGTCAATATATCCTGAAAGCAATAAAGAAATAAAGTTAAGAAGCCAACAAAAAAACATGATAAAACAACCTACTAGCCAAACTATATTAAGTAGGTATTTGTTCAGCTTTACTGAGGTATAACTGACAAAATTGTAAGATATGTAAAGTGTACAGCGTGATGGTTTGACATAATGTATACATTGCAAAAGGCTTCCTCCATTGAGTTAATTCACACATCCATCAGCTCACATATTTATCTTTTTTCTTTCTTTCTTTTTATTTTTTGATGTGGAAAGAAAATTTTAAGTTCTACTTTCTTAGCAAATTTCAAATATTTCGTACAGTGTTATCTATTATAGTCACCATGTTGTACATTAGATCCCCTGGCCTTATTAATTTTATAATTGAAATACTGTATCCTTTTGTAAGTCTCTTCCTATTTCCCCTCGTCTCAAGCGTCTCACAACCACTTTTCTACTCTGCTTCTATGAGTCTGATTGTCTTTTGTTTTTGATACCACATGTAAGTGATAGCATGCAGTATTTGTCTGGCTTATTTCATTTAGGATGACTTCCAGGTTAATCCATGTTGTCAAAAATGTCAGGATTTCCTTTTTGAAAGTTGAATAGTATTCCTGTGTGTGTATGCACATACCACATCTTCTTTACCCCATTACCTTTTGATGACACTTAGGTTGTACCCACACTTTGGTTATTAATAATGCTGTAATGAACATTGGAGTGCAGATATCTTTTTGAGATAAAAATTTCTTGGATAGCCCTGACCGGTTTGGCTCAGTGGATAGAGCGTCAGCCTGAAGACTCAAGGGTCCCAGGTTCGATTCCGGTCAAGGGCATGTACCTTGGTTGCGGGCACATCCCCAGTGGGGGGTGTGCAGGAGGCAGCTGATTGATGTTTCTAACTCTCTATCCCTCTCCCTTCCTCTCTGTAAGAAATCAATAAAATATATTTTAAAAAAATTTATTGGATATATACCCAGAAGTGGTATTCCTAGATCATATGGTAGTTCTATTTTTAATTTTTTTAGGGAATCTCTATACTATTTTCCATAGTTGCTGTTACAGATTACATTCCCAACAATAGTATACAGGGTTCCCTTTTCTTCCCAGCATTTGTTACCTCTTGTTTTTAGATAATAGACATCCTAACAAGAGTGAAGTGATATCTCATTGTGGTTTTGATTGGCATTTTCCTAATGATTAGTGACTGATTTGGTATGGTGAACCATATGTACATCCCTGGAATATATCCCCCTTGATCATGGTGTATGATCCTTTGAATGCACTATAGAACTTGGTTTGCTAATATTTTGTTGAGTATTTTTACATCTGTGTTCATCAGGGATACTGGCTGGTAGTTTTCTTTTTTTCATAGTGCCCATTGTTTTGGTACCAGATTAATAGTGGGCTCATAAAATAAATTTGAAAGTGGTCTCTTCTCTTCAAGTTTTTTGGAAGAGTTTAAGGAGGATTGCTATTAATTCAACTTTAAATGTTTGGTAGAATTCACCATTAAAGCCATCTGGTCCAGGATTTTTCTTTCTTGTGAGTTTTTTTTTAATTATTCTTTTTTATTGAATTTATTGGGGGGTGGCATTGGTTAATAAAATTATATAGGTTTTAGGTGAACAATTCTATAATACATCATCTGTATATTGTATTAGGTAATTACTACCCCAAGTCTCCTTCCATCACCATTCATCCCCCCTTATAACCTCATCTCCCTCCTCCCACCCCCCTTTCCCTCTAGTAATCATCATACTATTGTGTGTTTTCGGTTTGTTTTTTTTTGCTTAATCCCTTCACCTTTTTCACCCACCCACTCTCCCTCCCCCTCCCCACTCTGACAACTGTGAGTCTGTTTCTATTTGTCAGTTCATTTTGTTCATTAGATTCCACATATGAATGAAATCGTATCATACTTGTCTTTCTCTGATTGGCTTATTTTACTTAGCATAATGCTCTCTGGGTGTCTCAGGTTTCTTTTCATATGGGGATATTGATTACTGATTTAATATATTTACTATTAATTGTTCTGTTAAAATTTCCTTTTCTTCATGACTCAGTCTTAGTAAGCTTTATGTTTCTAGGAAATTATCTATTTCTTCTAGGTTGTCCAATTTGTTGGTATATAATTGTTCATAATATTCTCTATGATCCTTTGTATTTATGTGGTATCAGTAGTAAAGTCTTCTTTTACATTTATAATTGTATATCTTTGAGTTCTCCCTCTTTTTTTCTTGGTAAGTGTAGCTAAAGGTTTGACTATTTGTTTCTATTGAGGTGGACAAATGGGGGATAAATGGGGATGGAAAGAGACTGCTTTGGGTGATGGGTGCATGATGCAGTGTGCAAATGTGTTGAGTTGTACGCTTGAAAGCTGTATGGTTTTGTGAACCAATGTCACCCCAATAAATTCAATTTTAAAAATCTCTATTGCATTTATCTTTTCTATTGTCTTTTGGTCCCTGTTGCATTTATTCCCACTCTAATCATTGCTATTTCCTCTTTTGCTAATTCTGGGCTTAGTTTTTTTCTCTTTATCATGTTCCTTAAGGTATAAAGTTAGGTTGAGATATTCCCCCCAAATGTAGGTATTTATTTTTATAAAGCTTCCTCTTAGAACTGCTCTGGCTGCATCTCAGAAGTTTTGGCATGTTTACTCTAGATATTTTTCAGCTATTATTAAGTGAGCTTTCTGCCATTTTCTCTCTTCTTCTAGGTTCTCTATAATGTATATACTGGTCCTCACGTCTATAAACTATTAAGCTGTCTTCACTCCTGTTTGATTTTTGTTTTTCTTTTTTCTCCTCTGATTGGATGAATTCCTCTGCTCTTTGCCCTGTTTTTTATTTCAGTGGTGTAGTCTACTGTTGAATCCCTTTAGTAAAATTTTCAGTTGAATTATGTATTCCTCAGTTTTGTGGTTTATGTATGGGACTTTTAAATATTTTCCATCTCTTTACTGAAATTCTCATTTTGTTCATGCATTGCTCTTCTGCCCTTATTGAATATCAATAGTGTATTAGTAGTAATGATATTATTTTGAACTTACTTCTCTATATTGTGACATGAAGAGAACTTGTTATTGAACATAGGTTAAAATCCATGAGTTAATAGTGACACTAAAAAAAAAGAACAAACTAATTGATGATTTTTGGATTAATACTAAAGCACTAAATCACTATTCAGAAATTTCACAGCTTACCATGAATTTATTCTGTCATTTGTTTACAAACTATATTTAATGGTAACCAAAGAGTTGATAAGGAAACATTCTTTAAAGAATTCCAGCTAATAAATGCAGAAAAACTGTTATAAATATAAATGATAACTTTACAGATATCAGCAAAGGTGGTAGAATAAGAATCTCTGAAAATCCTCTCCACCATAAAAGCAATGAGAATACTAGTAAACATTGCCAGAATCAACTTTTGAGAAATCTGGAAATTAACAAAAGGCTTGTAGCTTTCCAGGAGCAGTTATTCAAGAAAAGCAATGAAATTTTGGTGGGAAGAATAAGTTTTGTGGTATTTTAACTTTCTCTATTCCCATTCTACCCTGACCTCCACAGCAGCCTTGAAAACCCTCATTTATGGTGAAAATCACCCTGGCAACAACTAGAGGCAGCAGAATTAGGTTGGATATCACCCACAGCCCCATTCCCAGATAAGTGTCATCATTTTATCTATTTGGTAATTCTCTAGAAGACTCCACTCATAAGGATGTCTTCTTCATTTGATCTGACTTTGAATTCACCTAGTGTGCACAGACTTTCCTCCCAGAGGTGTTTGCTAAAAACAGTCA